TATCCTTTGTATAGCTCCTTTTTTTGGCTATCCCAAGATCCTTTGCTTCTTAGATGCTTGAATCCCGGCTTTTGATCCTTCGCTACATAACGCTTTCACCCCGCGGTTAGTCCATAGTTCCTCCCAATGTTGTCATAGCCACCTCCACTAGCCCCACCGAGGCTCTCACCACAACCACCACCACCAGCACCACCACTACCACCATCACCAACAACCACCACCACCAACAGGTTGCAGGGTGCTGGGAGAAAGGAGAGACCGCCGGCCTGGTTCTCAACGCTCCGATTCTTCCTGCCTTGACAACCCTGCGAGGTGCTCCCGTCAGTGTTGTCATCGTCAAGGTGAGATGCACACACACACACACACACACACACACACACACACACACACACACACACACACACACACACACTACACCTGTTGATTGACGGTTGAGAGGCGGGACCAAAGAGCCAGAGCTCAACCCCCGCAAACACAACTAGGTGAGAACTAGGTGAGTACACACACACACCTGGTAATGCTAGAACACCTGGCTTTACTACACACCTGGTGACACTAGACATCTGGTAACACAAACTGGCTCTACTGTATACACCTGAAAAAATAACACCCCTGCTAACTCTACACACTCTTGCTAACAAGACTCATCCACTGACACAACACACCTACTAACACATCACACATCTGCTGTCACAACACATCTGTTAACAGAACACATCTGTTGGTACAACACACCTACTAACACAAGTCACCTGGTAACACAGCACTCTTGTTGACATCATTTTGATGACGCTACACACCTGTTGACACAATTTTTATGACACTACACACCTGGTGACACCATTTTGATGACGCTACACACCTGGTGACACCATTTTGATGACGCTACACACCTGGTGACACCATTTTGATGACGCTACACACCTGGTGACACCATTTCGATGACGCTACACACCTGGTGACACCATTTTGATGACGCTACACACCTGCAGACACCATTATTGATGACCTACACACCTATTGACACCATTTTAATAACACTACACTATAAAAGTTACAGACATTTTCTTGCTTTTTTTTCTCATAAAAGTTGAAAAAACACATTTAGTCCTAAAAGTCTGATTTTAGTCTATTGATTTGTTTTCTTCTTTGTTCAATAAAATAGGAAAATCTTTCCAGTCTTAAAAGTTTGGTCTTAGTTTACAGACATTTTCTAACTTCTTTTGTCATTAGTTTGAAAAATAATTTTCAGTATTAACAAGAAAATTGTGTCCTTAGTTTCAGCCTTAATATTTTTTTTACACCATTGGTTAATAAAACGTGGTTAAATATTGACTTCCACGAAGTCTTCGAGGATATAATTCAATAATGTTGACCAGACCACACACTAGAAGTTGAAGGGACGACGACGTTTCGGTCCGTCCTGGACCATTCTCAAGTGCATTTCTACTAGAGAGAATTATTTCTATTGCTATTATAAAATCAGTCAAGACAATCGACTTGAGAATGGTCCAGGACGGACCGAAACGTCGTCATCCCTACACTTTGTAGTGTGTGGTCTGGTCAACATATTTCAGCCACATTATTGTGACTCCTCGTCTGCGTGATTCAATAATGACGACGTCTTGTGGTGAAGAACTTCATCGAGGCGATCCGTGTGGGACCCGGGCGAGGGTTCCTTGTGGGTTACTTGGGAGAAGTGATCAACGCCTTGGCTGGAAGTCTTGACTTCCGAGTCGTCATTATGGAGGGTTCTGGCTTCGGCTCCGAGACGTCCAATGGGTCATACGATGGCGTCGTGGGACACATTGAGAGACAGGTGTGTGTGTGTGTGTGTACTCACCTAGTTGTGTTTGTGGGGGTTGAGCTCTGGCTCTTTGGTCCCGCCTCTCAACCGTCAATCAACAGGTGTACAGATTCCTGAGCCTATTCCTGTGTGTGTGTGTGTGTGTGTGTGTGTGTGTGTGTGTGTACTCACCTAGTTGTACTCACCTAGTTGTGTTTGCGGGGGTTGAGCTCTGGCTCTTTGGTCCCGCCTCTCAACCGTCAATCAACAGGTGTACAGATTCCTGAGCCTATCGGGTGTCATATCTACACTTGAAACTGTGTATGGAGTGAGCCTCCACCACATCACCCCCTAATGCATTCCACACACACATAATGTGTGTGTGTGTGTGTGTGTGTGTGTGTGTGTGTGTGTGTGTGTGTGTGTGTGTGTGTGTGTGTGTGATTGGTGTTAAGGCAGTACCATGGGATCGAACCTGTACCACCTGAGACACACACACACACATATACTACCAACTGGATCATGATGGGCTGGTAAGTTTCCCTTCGAGAAGTACCGCCTAGGGACTCCAGAGACGCGAGTTCGATCCTCTTGTATGACCTCCATATTTTTATATAGATTCATCACTTCATGATTTCACTGTGCTTGGCGTTGTTTGTTTGAAATCTTTATAATATTTTCTGCACCAACTAATATAATTAACTTATGTTTGCTCGCAAGTGGATGATTTACTTGTAACAAACAAACATAAATTGATACAGTTCAGGCTACAATGAACAGATATAATGAAACACAGTGATTTATTTATTCTTGGACATCAAACAGTTACACGAGGCCAGACAGTTTGAGGAGTATTCGCGTCCTTTCTGGACGGAATACTTTCTATCAGGAGACAGTGGCTGAGCGGACAGAACAATGGACGCGTGATCCTGTGGTCCCGGGTTCGATCCCGGGCACCAGCGAGAAACAATGGGCAGAGTTTCTTTCATTCCTGATTCCCCTGTTACCTAGCAGTAAATAGGTACCAGGGAGTTAGTCAGCTGTCACGGGCTGCTTCCTAGGGGTGGAGGCCTGGTCGAGGACCGGGCCGCGGGGACACCGAAATAATCTCAAGATAATAATCTTGAGACCCCGAAATAATCTCAAGATAAGAACCGCCTCGTCTCGTTTGATGCTGCCAAACGTCATTATATTATTATTCCCACCTGCTCAATCATACCTATTCTCCATCAAGTGACAAACTTATATCCAGAGACATGACCTTGGCGTGTAAACCTTCCATCAGAAAAGTTACAAGCTCCGAGCCAGAGTATTGGTCATTTTATCTTGACTAATTGCGCAAATTGCACATCGGCGCTTAATTGAAGTCACATTTCAAATTCCCTCGTGTCTCTGGTCCGTGGGATGACTAAATTGAAATATGCAAAACGGGAGAATGAACGTATCGACGCTCGCGGCATGCATACCTATATACCTTACCTATATAACCAGGAGGCTTGGTCGACGACCAGGGCCGCGGGGACGCTAAGCCCCGGAAGCACCTTGAG